CAGACGGGATGAAGCAAGCAGTCGCATCCAAGTTCATTGCCTCCCGCGGGGGGCCCTCCTCCTCACCCACCGTCGAATCCGACCGTCCCGCTTTCTTGTCTATCCGCTGCATATATCTCTTTCTGGACATTTTGGTGAGGTGCCCATGGCTCAGACCACGACTCGTTATGTTTGCAAGGTAACTAATACTCCCGTTAAAGGAAGCTTCGAGGAAGGAAAGGTCTTTCAAATCAGCATAATTACTATGCCCACCAATAAATCAGCATACCAACTATGTCCCTCCAAATCAGCTGGCGCTGCGAAAGCAGTCCAAAGTTGTCGTGGGACGTTTGGGAGATCCGGACGATCTAGACGGAGGGGCTGGTCTCGGCTCGGCTCTTATACCAGCCTATGGCTAATTCACCCCGCGCACTTCTGTGGTCACGCTGTACCGCACTCCCTCGTGCGGCGGGCGGGTCGCCTACTCGCTCGAAAGGGGCGCCACGTGGTCGTGGGGCGACAGGCAAGCCCGCTCCCACAAGCGCTCACGTGGTTTGGCTCTGGGCTCTCACCGGACACCTTCATGTCCCACTGTCCACTGCAGCTCCACGGCCTGCGGGCGAGCGACCGCCCGCGCCAGTGGCGATAGGCTGATAGGCTAGGCTAGCCCGCGGCGCGCGCCTGCCACGCGGCGCGGCCTAACTGCACGGCGCGAGTCGCTCACCCCGCACAGCGGAGGGCAGCTCGAGTCATGACGCTGCCTACTGCCAGGGAAACCAACAGCTGTGCGCATAGATTCAAATGTCTTCCAGTGTGTGCAAACATAAGCAATAATTTCGTATTAAGTGGTGTTGAGCCCAGACCCCAGACCACGCTCTTATAAGTCACTGGATGGTCGCGGCCTTGACAAAGCCGACCGGGCGTGTTTTGCCTCGCCGGGGATGTGATGCGGACGCGAAAGCGCGGTGGTGCGTTTTTCTGCCCTCCCGGGCGGTGCGTGGCGGCAGCGGCGGCTGTCGGCGGCCGTGAGTCACTGCTGACGTCACGGCCCGCGATAGATAGAGTAGACGGACTGCGCCAGGCGTCTTTGTCCGCCGAGGGCCGGGATGGAGAGCTAGATACTGCAGCTGCGCCAGCACTGCGCCAGCACTGCGCCAGCACTGCGCCAGCACTGCGCCAGCGTCAATGAGAGGTGTTGTGGAGGCAATTAGAAAGTTCCCCTCCAATGATAGTTTTTACTTTTTACGACGCACCCAAACAGCTGCTGCACTGTTTATTTAGCCGCTACCCGCTCTGCCCCGCGTCACTCCACTGGCCCTTCGCCCTGTATTTCTTTGCGAAGGCAAGATATTGCCTTCCGATCCGTTGTGCCGGGGGAGCGAAAAGAACTTCGGCGTCCCGCGTCTCTCGGCCACACTCAACAGAAATGAAAACAACTCGCATGAGCAACAAAACAATATCTGTCCCCTTCCCAGAGTGGAGTCCTGCTAGGACGGTTCCCTCGTAGCCGGGCCGCGCCTAGCGCACTGTGAACAGCGCTGCCCCGCGAGCTGCATCCCAAGCAGGCGAGTCCGGGGAAGGGCCACCGCGTTGGCCGTGTCCTGTGGCCTGTGGCCCTAGGCAGGCCCCATGCCAGCAGGGTCTTCCCTTCGCCCCCCAACACGCGGCCACGCGGCCGCCCCGCCACACCAGCCCCGTACCCGTACTCGGCCCCACGCACCCAATGGCTTTTCTTTCGCCGACATACGCGGATGTGACTGTCAAGTCGGTGCTCGTGTCAGTGCCGTAGGTCTGGCGGGGCGCGGCCGGGGAAGCGGGCGCCCCCTTTCCCTTTGGAAAGAAAACGCGGAGGGGGGGGGGGCGTAAGTTATCCACACCAGACCCCGACACAAAGCTGAGCTACTTGTGACAAATGGGACTGTGCTGGCCCGGCATCGACGAGCGCTCTTAAAATCCACATAAAGCTCAGTTCACGTTTCTACGTTTCAGAGGAGGGCGCCCGACCAACGACCGTTCCGGGTCAACCCGCGAATGGCGCGCCGCGGCGCCCGCAGCGCCTCTCTTAGCGCGACGATTCGCTTTACGACGTTCGCGATCAATTCTTGCGGTTTGAAGTGTTTTATGAGTCTGAATCTTTGTCTCGCACACGCTTTAATGGGCGAGGGGGGGGGGGCACCTCTCCACCCTCCGCACGAGGATGAGGGCTTCGCGGAGAGAGGGGAGACGGGGCGGGGCGGGGGACATTTCCTGGCGCCCCACGTCCCGC